TCCTCCCCCGGGCGCCGCGCCTGCTGGGGAGCCGGGTGCGGGAGGAGCAAGCGGACCAGCGCGACCTCCTTCCGCCTCCTTCTCCGCGTCCGCACCGGGCGGGCGGCGACGGCCTGAGCGGTTCCTTCTCGAGCCAGCGCCGGCAGAGCGGCTTGGAGAGGAGGTGGAGCTGCGGGGCTGGGCGGAGACGCTGGCGGGCTCCGCGCACCGCACTCCAGCCAATCGACGTCCAGAGTCGGCGTGACGTAACCCCCGTGCCTCTCCCGGGAGCCGCCCTCTCCGAGAAGCCACGCCCAGTTTCTGCTGGGCTGCCGGGCTCCGGCGGCTCCCGCGCGGTCCTAACGCTTGGTGTGTTCCAGCGGGCTGAGGCATAGGACCCCTGCGGGTTGAGCTCTGCCGGTAGCGGGGAGAAGCGTGCGACGTTCACGTCGGAGGAGAGAAATCGGCTTTTCTTGAGGGATCAGCCCTGTCCTGGCTGCTGGCCACGTCGCGTCAGCCGCCGCCCGGGAGCAGGACCAGTGGGTTCCGCCGGGTGGACTTGGCGAATGTGAGCCCACATTCTAAAACTTGACCAGGACCTTCGGTGTGCACGCTGGGACGCAGACCCGGGAGCTGCGCTGGCGTGCAAGCGGGCCGGGGCGGCGAGCGCCTCGCTCAGGCTGGTTGCAAGGTGTTGATTTGAACCGGCCACTCGGCGGAGGGGACCTTGCGGCCAGGGATGCCTGGGCCTAAAGGTTGCTTCTGGCTTGCAAGGTTCAGTTTAAGAACACCCTCCTGCCCCAAGTCTATGATTTAAAAAGAACGTGTATTGGCTACGTTTTAATTTCTGTCAGCCAACACTGGAAATCCTTGTGCTGGGTGTGAATTTTCTGTAACTCAAAGAATTTACTAAGATACGGTCTTGACAAGGCTTTTAACTTTTCAAGTAATATTACATTTTTAACGTTTGGAGACCTCCGAAGTGTCTCTTTTATGGTGATATATCTATGTATCTTTAGATATATAGATATATCAAGAGGCCTTGATTCCTCTCAGAGTCCTCAGGGCCACTACCCCCACCTCCACCCCCACCCCCTGTGGTGCTCTCTCTGGTGCTGGGGCCTAAACTCCCATCAGAGTTCTTTCAATGTTTTTTTTTTTTTTGTTTTTGTTTTTTTGTTTTGTTTTTTTTGTCAGCAGTAAATAAATCTTGTGGCCTGGAGGGGGGAAAGTCAGGATTTTTTTTTTTTTTTTGAGGGTTAATAAAAAAGCAGGCTTTTTTAAAAAATCCCTACTGTTTTAAATTAAGAACTCATACTACATAGTCTTAATAGGAGTGTGAGAAAAGTAAAATCCACACTAAGGCTTTCTCAGAGTGCAGGGACATCTACAGGGCATGTAGAATCGTTATCTCACAACTCTGCAATTTTACCATTCCGGACAAAGCCAAGCTAAACCCTGAGTCAGCTTCAGTGATAAAACTGGGAAGTGGAGAATTACGCAGCACATTTTAGGTTGACAAAAATAACTGAAAGCTATCCTGTCATGTAATTTTTCTGTTCCCTTGTGCTTCTTGGGTATAACTTAAATGGAGTAAAATGACAGCTTCAACTCCTAGCTGCCCTCGAATCTGCTATTCCTGCTTGGTCTCTTGGTCATGTTTCTGAAGCTTAGGATGAAATGCTTTAAGTGACAATAGTGTGAGGACCCCCCACACCCTACATTTGGATGCCTTGTGTAATGAGCAAATGCTGCACCTCCGAACTGAGTTTTATATGTGGCCAAGGCTTTGGATTTTTCACATCTTTACATTTTCCTTGGCATCAGAAGCTACTTGATATCAACTTACAATGCCCAATCCACATTTTCATTTAAGTTAAATTTGCATTTAGTAATAATTTTCATCTTTCTCATTTTGGCCAGCAATAGAAAACACAGTTGATAATAACACTTATAAATAGCATATACAACAGTTTAATGATTCAGGTTACCCTCCACCAGCGTGAAGATTTTATCCTCACAGGGTGTTGCTTCAAGGCCCTTTTTTCAACCCTGTAAATCACACACAGGTCTAAGTGTTTTTTCCACCCTGTGGTAAGTGAGAGAACACACTGAGCAAGAGCACAGGATGGCTGCTGTTTGTAAGGGAGAACCCAGGGCAAAGGAGGAGTGTGTTCACTTGGGGAAAGTTCCCAGGTGAATTTAATGACTCTTTAGAAATACATTCTCTCAGCTGGTTGCAAAAACCTGCTCTAAATTCTCAGATTTAGAATTTTACGTTCCATGTATAATCCAATCAGATGGGTAGTAATGGTGAGTGTGTGGTTTGTATGCAGATTTTTCAAACTAGGATTGTGATGGTAAAACTTGGTTGTCAGAGACATGCTTCTGAGCCAATCCATCAGGATAATTCTTAGAAGGGTTGACTGAGGCAGGAAGACCCTCCTTTATAGTGGCACCCCATTAAGGAAGGCAGCATCTACCAGAAAGTGGCCCAGATAAAAAGTGGGCTGAGGGGGGAAGTTGTGGGCCTGCCTCCCCCATCTCTGGTGAGAGCATCTCCTCTGCTCTGGCCGCTGCTGTTGCACCCTTCCCTGACTTCTGAGCCCATTTTACCCTTCTAGTAAGAACTGAAGACCAGCAGTTCTCCAGGGCTTCTAGTCCTTCATTGCCAGATTGAGGCTGCTGAGGCAGTTAGCTCTAGACTGAAACTACTAGGTTAGCCTCTCGACAGTGTGGAGACAGCCGTTTTAACTACCTGGTAATCCCATATTGTATAAGCCAATCCACTAAATCTTCTTATACATATTCTATTGCTTCTGTTTCTCTGGAGTTAGTCCCTGAGAAGCAGTTTCAGGGCACAAGGTGCTATTGTGTCTTGTCCTTAAGATGATCTTGATAGTCATTTAGTGTAACATAAAAGATGCTATTATTTTAACATTCAAGTATGTATTTCTCTGCAATAAGAAACCTGGATTCAAGGGAAGGTTGTACTTTGGATTTAGATGCTAGCGGTGATGAAAGAAACTTTTAAGTCCTACCTTTTGCAATTGGGTTGCAGCAAGTAGTTTTACCCAAACCCCAACTAGTTGAGTGGTTTGGAATAAACTGATATACTTAACATTATCTGCTCTATTAAAAGGATACATCTGGGGTCTGGGTGGTTCACCAGTTAGGCATGTGTACTCAAAGACCCAAAATCAGGAGGAGTTCAGCTCCCAGCACCCACATCAGGAGGCTCACAACTGCCTGTAACTCCAGCCCCAGAGAAGCTGATGCCTCTGTCCTCCATGGACACCATGCTCACATGCACAGACATATATGTACCATAATTTAAAGGGGTTGTATGTTTAAGCACTCTACTTAGCTAAGATTTTATCCAAAACAGCCAGTCTGATCCATCTCTAAAGTCACGTGAGTCATGAATATTGACCTACTGATCTTCTAACATGTTTCCTCCATTGGATATCTTTTTTTTTTTTTTTTTTTTTTTTTAGGATTTCTTCTCACAAGTAGTAGGATTATAAGTGTGAGCCACCGAGCACACTTGGCTGAGATATAAATGTCAATTAATTGGTCATGTTTTATTCAGCTTCATATTTAAACAGCAGTTAGCTTGTTCATTCCATTTAGCACGTGATAGATATTCATAAACGATTATGATATAAACAGATGAATGAACAATAAAACAGAGGTAAAGGTTAGAAGTCTCTGGGGCAGTGAGTCTTTGTCCGTGTCTAGCAGAAAAGATAAAATGTATATGCCAGTATTTTCAGGCCAGGCCTGAGATTCTCCCTGACTCCACTTGACGAAGTTACATGTCTACCCTTGATCAAGCTCTGGGTCCAGAAAAGTGGAGTCAGCTTCTTCAGACTTATGAGGATCCCCAGAAAAGACATCATGCACTGTCTCAGAGGAGGAAGGGAACCGTGGATGCCAAGGAAGCAAATTTGTATGTCAATGTCATTGTACTTGAGCCTGCCCTTTTTATCATTTAAATGGCCATGAATATTTTAAAAATCATTTTCTGTTCAGCCAGGTCACACACAGCATTATATATGGATGTTAATTTTTAAAATATATTTGAAAAGTTGTTCAAAAGACTTGGATATAACACAAGCAATTTATTTGTTGAGATTCAAGTTAAAATTACACATTAAAATTTAAAAGGTAACTTTTTGTCATGGTTTCTAAAAATACAGGACAGTTGAGAAAAAAAAAAAAGCACAAGTACTGTTTCTGTGACAGTATTTTTACTGGTAGCCTGGGACTCTGTGTTCAACTGTAGTGGAAGACATCTTTGCTGGAAGCCTATCCTTGAACTGTATTCAGAGTTTCCCTAGAGTTTTGATTCTATTTGTCAGAAAAAGTCCTTGGGCCTAACTTGACCAGAATGACTATATACATTGAAATTTTTGGGAAAATGAAATCCGTGATCTTTGACTATTGAAAAGTAAACTTGATACTAAAATGGTTTGTTTTGGAAAGTTCTCAAAACTGCTGACTTCTGTTAGAAATCTACAAATCTAAAAGTCTGCTACTTGGTTTGAGATAGGACAGATGAACTCCAACTTGCTAAGTTTGAGAATTTTTGAGTGTCAAAAATAATGCAATAATATTAATGGATTTAAAAAAAATCTAATCCCTGGGAATAAAAAAAAAAAAAACAGTGGGTATGTTGCTGGAAAAGCTTTATTGGAAAAGGTAGAAAATACTGAAGGTAACATTTTGTAACTGTCAATTGTAACAACTATTGGTGTTGACATGCTTACTATTGGATAGAAAGCTGCTGGGAAACAAAATAAATGTTCTCCAACACCTCAGCTAAAAACAGAAAATAGAAGGTAGAGAGATGGCTGAGCCCTTCAGAACACTTCCTGTACTTGTAGAAGACCCAGGTTCAGTTTCCATCACCAACTCTGCAGCTTCCCACTCTCCATAACTCCTACGGAAAACATTTGATGCCCTCTGGTAACCTCTGCAGGCACCAGGCACAAGGAACACAGACGCACATATAAGTAAAACATTTGTATACATCAAATAAGTACATCTAAAAACTATTTTGAAACAAAGAAAATGTATTTTATAGGAATAAATCTAATGAATGCCACCAAAGCCAGGACGTCGTGGATAGTATTAGCAACAACGGAACACTAATATTTTCCTTTGTCATGTGAAGAGTGCTACTAGAAACACACACATCTTATATTCTTGTCCAAATGTAAAAATGAATCTAATCATGAAGAAATAAGATTAACTTAGACTTTGGGACGTTATTTGGGATGACCTCAATATTTAAAAATATCAACACCGTCAAAGTAAATACAGGGTGCTGTTTTAGATGAAAGGATTCTCAAGAGATATAACAACTAGATGGAATGCTTGATTTTATT